AACTTTTTTTTTTTCCCCCCCCGCCCTTTCCCCCCCCCCCCCCCCCCCCCTCGATTCTCTCCCCCATCGCACTGGGTGGGGCAGGAGTGAGTGAGCAGCTGTGTGGTGCTTAACTGCTGGCTGGGGTTAAACGATGACAGAGCTCTGTTCCATAGCCGACTGGCATCTGACCATGAACACAGACAGTGGTGTAATGGTGTTTTCTAGTTTTTTGTATGTATTCCCATAATTTGCTTTTTTTCTATATTAAATAATTGATATCATCAGCAAACATTGTCACCTCAGCACCCATCTCCTTTACAACATTATTTAGGAATATACAGAACGTCACACATTCATTGGTACTGAGCCTGACAACAGCTGCAACCAAATCCTATTGAAACAACCTCTGTTTGCAAACATTTCTACATTGAAATCTGTCAGGTAGTTATTTGGCCTGTGGTTGTTATTCTCTGTGGTGGTAACAACAAGGTGGGTTTCATGCCTCTATCTTTTCTTGTAGCTTCTGAACGTGGTGAACAGCTTTATCCAGGTTTGGTACAAGGGTAGCAGTCCTGAGATACAGAAATGAGGAAGACACCCAAGGCAGTGCCCTCGCTGAGGGAAAGGCAGGCGGAACTGCTGATATGGCAGCAGGCAGCGCAGCAGTGAAGATGCCAACTGGCATGCATGCCACTCTGGAGTGACTGAAGCACATGCTGGCACTTGTCTGTGTCACTGCAGACAGGGGAGGGGCTGGGGCTGTTGTGAGCTCAGAGGACAAAGACGAAAGATCTATAGGAAAGTCCCATTTCCTTTTTTTCTGGGACTTGCCATTGACTATGTTTTTGCTTTTTAATTGTTTCATGATTTAATCGCATATAACTTTCTTTTAAATCTCCTGTTGATGTCAGTCTGACAAAAATATCTTGCTTGCCTGTTTTGAATACTGAGCCTTAATGAACACATTAAGATTCTGAGTTTTCTGAAACATCTCTAATACTCCAAGACATATTTAAAAACTTGTGTCAGGGGAGAGAGCTTGGCCAGCTTGGATTTGTAAGCTACGTCTGCACTGTCTTTGGTGTAGTGAGCCATATTGAGCTTGTAGAGCTCCATGGCTTGAGCCAGTTGTGTCTGTACTCTCTGGCAGCACCAAGTTTAAGAGTCTTCTCAAGCCTGGAGAGAAATGCTTGCTCCATGTGAGGCTGGAGGCAGGGAACAGACTAGGATGGGGCAGTGTGGATGGTCAGGGGCTTGTGTTCAAGTGTGAGCTCTAACCTGCAGTGACACGACACAGCAGATGTTTCCATAAGCTAGTCTAGTAATCTGTAATAGAAGCTGTTTAACTTCTCGCTTGTTACTGGACTGGTGAAAATAATTGTTCCTATTTGAATGCAAGTCAAGCATCCAGTTTATTCCAGAAGAAGAAAAATCTTTTAACAAATACATCCATTTTATGTTGCATCATTATTGATAAATAATTTTTCATTGTAAAATAGGCCTGTACAACCAGTAACACTAGTATGGTTTAGATTTCATGTTCTTAAAATGTTTCTTTGTAAAGTTTTTGCCTTGCCAGGACTCTGCTGAATGATATTAACTGTGAGTGTATTTCATTACTTACAATTTCAGTTTATGGTAATTATGAAGTATTTCATCCTTTTTATTTGCATTCTCTATTTTATCATTACCATGTTTATTCCCTAGGCATGATAGCCTTTTAATTAAACTTGTCTGGTGATTTAGGAAGAATTGGTACTGATCTTTTTTTACTTGCTTGTGTTCCCATTTTCAGCTATATGCCGTTACCCTTTGGGTATGCATGAAGGGACGATACGAGATGAAGACATCACTGCTTCCAGCCAGTGGTATGATTCCACGGGACCCCAGTATGCACGGTAGGTTAATCTCTGGCAAAAAATGTAATCCTTTTTTTCATCTAGCTATCCAATATGTGATTGAGGAAGAAGTTTCCTCACCCTTAAAGAAACCTGTTTGCTTAGCTTGTTCACTGCTTCTATGTTAAATCTAGTTAGTGCATAGTGAAAGACCAAGAGGCAATGGTCTTGGTCACAAGCTTTAATACAGGAAATTCTGATTCAATATTAAGGAAAAAAAAAAATCCATCCCCATGAGAATGAAGTGGTGGGATAGGTTACCCAGAGAGGTGATGGTGTCTCCACGCCTTGAGCAACACACTGTTGCTTTGGAGTTAGCCCTGCTGTGAGCAGGAGATTGGACTAGAGACTTGCAGAGGTTGCTTCCGACCCTCATCTTCCTATAGTTCTGTGAATAAATCTCTATATGGATTTGTGACTTACAGGTCAGCTAGAGACAGTGCCCCTGGGATTCTTGTAGAGCGCTTTAAAGTAAATCATAGGAAATCATTTACAAGGATGAACTTTTCAACTGCATCCTATTAAGGAAATGGGCTCAAAAACCTGGAAACTGCAGAGTTAAGGAATTGTTAAAAAGTAGCTAAAGGATTTTCTTTCAATGTCAAGCAGTACTACAGTCTTTCTCATAAGCTTGGCTTTTCATTTTTTGTCATTTCATTTCTCAAAGCTACTAACTGATGATTTGCAAAATACTTAAAAATGTAAGTTTCCTTAGAATTGTTTATAATGATGATACCAAACTTTCCTACAGTTTTGGTGCAAGTTAGATGCGAATTTCAGGTTAACTATGATACTTACATTTTTATGATGAATTTGGGCAGTTCAAAATCATAAAATTCTCCTAGTGCTTGATTATTTTTTTTTTCTTAGTCTGTGGTAAAGCAAAGATGCTAAGTGTCATGTGTTTTAATGGAGTTTGAACAAGCCTGTGGGTCTGAAAGCTGGGAGACTTACTTTCTTCTGAGACAGGGCCTGTCTCCAGTTCTGCAAATACTTCAGGCATCACTTACCATCTGTTACCATCATCTCTTTGCCAGGGCAGCTGGATGTCCACAGGGTGAAGACGTGAAGGCACCCCTCTAGCTGACTTCATTTTGTTAGAGGTCATAGTTGTCCTATGCAGATGTCTGTCCCTGTCATTTCATAGTCACCCTTTCTGCCTTTCTTAGAACTTCTTTTACTTGCCACTTCACCATAAGAAAGATTTGCACAAACAGCTGACCAACCTGAGACAAAAATCTTCTCTAGCCTGTGACTTGACCTTCAGTGTCTCCTGAGTACTGCCTTCCTTGATGCAGGGGTTGGCACTCACCGATCCCGTCAATTAGAGACAGGAATTGCTGTCTGAAAGATAAGGGCCCTTCATGGGCTTGCTGTTTGCTAAGAAATCCCTGTTGCTAAAAAGCCTACGTGGTCTTTTTGTGTCTGGATAAATTTTTCACATTTAAAACTCTCACCACCTTGCAGCTTGCACAGCTGAGCCTACAGAAGCCTAGGTAAGGCAGTGTTTCCTTTAGTGGCTCCACCTGCTGATTGCTACAACGCTCTGCTCGGCATGCAATCTCCAAGGATAAAAGCCTTAACCTTTGCAGCTGGTGTCATAATGTTCAACTTGGAAGCAGACCTTTACATCGTACACCTAGCAGTGTCCTGCACAAGCAGCTCTGATGAATGAAGGAAATGTGAAAGATGCATTGAGATGACCCAGAATAATTTGTAGATGGGCAGACCTTTTCTTTCTAAAATGTATTTTTAAGATCACTCCTCTTTGTGCCTGTTAGAGCTGTAGCAGGTGGTCAAGCAGAGGTTCAGGCCTTACTCTATGGGGTTTAGGAGAAGTGAGTATGCACTTTACTAGCAAGGTGCTAAAGAGCATGCAGTATGCAATTACCTACTGAGTAGCATAGTTGTTTCTGATGAACATGGAAGTATGTGTCTGGGAAAGAAATTACTTCTAACAGTTAATGAAAGATACCTGAAACTGAGGGAGTTGTTCTTAACAGGGCAAAACTGGCTACAGGAGTCTAAGTCTCAATTGACCATCACCCTGAAGGGGAGAGGTATTTGGTAGCCAGCTGTCAGGTCTCACTTGCTGATTTGGTTTCTTTCTCCCAATTCTCAAAGTTTCAAGGTGTTTCCTCAGTTACTGGGAAGGCTGGATCCTTGGAAGTGACTTTTTTTTTTGTGTGTGTGGTTTTCCCCTCAGGTTACAAAGGGAAGAGGGGGATGGAGCCTGGTGCCCAGCTGGCTTGTTGCAACCAGAAGATGTACAGTTCCTTCAAATTGACCTGCACAAGCTCTTCTTCATTACCTTGATTGGGACTCAGGGACGGCATGCCCGTGCCACAGGCAAAGAATTTGCCCGTGCTTACCGAATTGACTATAGCCGCAATGGAGAGCGCTGGATCTCCTGGAAAGATCGTCAGGGCAGGAAGGTGAGTGTAGTAGGAACTGAATCATGGAGCACACAGTCATAAAGAACTAGACTGTAGAAGGCACATCCTCTACGTACTGCCTAGTGCATTGTACTTTATCCTGACTCTTCTGTCAGGCATTTAGCGTCCTCTGCCTTAGTCCTGTGTTTGCTATGATGTTAGACTGTTATTCCCCTGACCTAATCCCCCAGATCCCAGCCATTGCCATCACTGAAAAATGTGGCTCTTCACTACCTTTCTGTGCGTGTTCAAAATATCATGTGAATGTCCCTCTACCAGCCAGACACTTGCTTCTAAATTGGAAGCTGCGAAGCAAATGCCTGCTTTGTGATTAAAAAAAAAAGGAGGGGGTGGCAGGGAATGGAGATGAGTTTCTTGCTAAGTGTTGAATGTAGGGAGCAATGAAGAGGAAGGATTTTAGAGGGTAGGAAATGTGCTGAGTGCGCACACTCAGAGATGCTTCCCTGATCACCACAGTTGTCTCCTGCTATCTCCAGACTTGAGCACACAGCTTAGCACTGGATGTGCTCTGGTCATGTTCATAAGCCTTTATTAAACTTTCCCTGGGAAGGAATCCCCTCTTTCATCTGCAGCTCGTCTGACCTGATCACCCTCCCTCAGGCTGGCTTGTGGAGTCTGAAGACCTAAGCCAGACTAGAAAGGTACTGGGTGTGGTGATGTTTTATGGCACTGGGGGTGCTTTGGAAGTCACAGTGGGGTCTGTATTGCAGTATTAGGTAATAGCTTCTAGCTTGTTAATGAATTATTTGCTCACTCAGACCTTTGATTGGCTATTTGGCCATTACCATTATCTTGCCCATCCCTCACATTTTGGTGTGTGCTACAAACACTGTGTTTGCAGGATGGGAGGGGAAGTTTAAACTCCATGGGGTTAACTGTTCTTTGTCGGTACTTTCTTAGGTGAAGTCTGTCTGCATCTTGAGTTATACCAGAATTCAATTGGTTACACTGTCCACAAGCAGCTAAATGCTCCTTGTCTCCCACCCCAGTCCTGTGCAGAGCAGTGTTCTTGGGCCCTCAGGACTGTGTTAGTGTCAGGTGTTATGATTTAGTATGGGTCAATTTTTGCAAGATCTCCCTAGGCCATAATAAGGTAATGAGCATGTATTCAGCTGTTATGATGCTATAATTTGAGCCATCCTCTATTCTATTCTATATATGTGGAAGTACACATATATTGTCAGTGTGTGTGTATCTGTTCCCCATTGCATGAGACCAAAAGGTTTTCCCTCCTGGTATACTTACAGAAGATGCTTCTGCTCCTCTGTTCCTGCTGCTCTGGACATACAGAATGGGGTGCAATTCCTGCCATTTCAGCTCCTCTGAAAAATGACTTTCCGTAAAACGTATTTTTCAAAATGTGTCACCAGTAACATGTCACATATTCCATTAGTGAATCCATATTTCAGAAGCACTGCTGTCTGGTCAAATAATTTGGTAAAAATGACCTGTAAAAATCATTCTGACCTTGGAATGAGGTGCAGATGGAGGTGCAAGATCCTAATCTACTTATTTGTATGCATTAGGAAGGCCTCTTCCAGTCCTGTGGTTGATAGATGCCCAATCACTGATATTTCAGTGTGACTATGTGAGCCCATCTTGGTATGTCTCTGTCCAAGGGGATCACACAATTGGTTTCAGTCAAAAAACCAAACAAACCCCTTCACTGTGCTGCTAAGTTTCAGACAGGTAGTACATGCTGCTGCTTTACCAGTAAAGTCACCTCCAGCTTTAATTTGCTCAGTAAAGGCAAAGAGTCAATTTGGGGTCCCCTTGACTAACTGACATCAGTTAAGGATGGTCCTCTCCATTGGCACTAATGTTGCATGGCGCAGCACCATTAAGTCCTGGTCGCTCATCAACTTCTGGTATCAGCCACCTACAGTTGTTTGCCAGCAGCACTGCTTTGTTCTTGATGTTGGGGACATTGGCATCAGTAGCTGATGGAAACTGGTGCTGAGTTTGTTCCACATACAGCTAATTCACTTCGGGTTTTTTTAGCCCTGAGAAACTGTGTGCTCAATAGCAGCAACCCCACCTTGTGGAGGTGCTATGCAAAGTGCATCTTCTCTTTTGCTTCTCAGAAGATGTCTGTACAGGACAGGCAAAAATGTCAGCTCTTCCTCTGTGGAGCTGGTTCAAAGATACCTTTTTCTGAGGGGGGTGGCTGAAGCTTTCTTCGTTTTACTCTGTCTGCACTGTGTCCATCTAGGACTTTTTGGCTTGACATATCTGCCACCTCAGAGATTCCCTGCCAAATAGTCAACTCCAGAGGATCTGTCCAACTTCTGTGATGAAGATGTGAGATATTCTGCCATATGTTGTCTGCTCTTGGGTTTTATCTCCTATCAGCAAGGTCTTGTGGAGCCAGCAGAGGTGGCTTCCAGGCCTCTTGTCTTAGGCCGTCTGATGGCCAAAAGGGTTAATCACTGTCACTTGGTTCCTGAAAGCAAGGATTACTTAAGTGTCCCTACTTCACTTGAAGAAGTCATGGGTGTTTCTCCTAGGAAGAGGGATATTAAGAGGCTGCAGATTTAAAAGCCTGTTGAGGAGCTGAAGAGGATGAGGAAGCAAGCTTACTTTTTGGCTTTCCTTCTGTTTTCTTTGGTCAACTCCTGGGACTGTGCACCTTTGTAGAACTGTCCAACCAGGTGCAGGAAGCTGTTTCACAGCTATCCTGGTGCAGTCCAGTAGACCACCAGATGTGGCTGGCTCTTCTTCAGGGAGATGCAGTCTTTGGAGTGGTTTCTTTTTGTGATACAATAAGGTCTTTCACTCCTTGATGGACTGTCCAGCCATACTCACTCTCTGGAGATCTTCTCTGCTGCCATGAAGACGCAGCCACCTTTCTGCTCCCTTGTTGGCCTCCCTCATCTTTTAAATTGCCTGTACATCAGCAATTGCAATCTACATGGTCTTTTGAGTAACTTCAGTCTGATTCATCCTTCCCACCAATAGCACCTTTGAGCAGGAGCCCTCACACTTGTAATTCAGACTTTTGATATCAAAGGTGTTCTGATTTTGTTTCCATAAGTCCAAATCCTTTCAAAAAAAATCTCTTAGGCACTTTGTGTCCACTGCTGGGGGATTGACAGCTTCAGCTGTTTCTGCACACTGACTGTCAAAATAAATAGTGGATTGTTCTCAGAACCATAGTGAAACTGAGGGGAAGGGGGAGGGTGAAAGTCTGTGCCATATCAGACTGTATTTCAGCAGGATGGGGTGACTGTGGTAATGCTGAACACTTCAGTTCAAGACATCTGTGCAGCTGCTTGCACTTTCATCCCCCAAACACTGCAGCACCTCTGGGATTTTGTTGGCTTATAGAGAAAGGACATCAGGACCCTCCACCAGGTAACTAGTGATGAGGGCAAGTGCTCATTTGCCTGTTGTTAGAATGTACATGGAGGCTCACTTGAAGAAAGAGAGGTTATGTACTAGTAACCGGAGCTCTCTGCAACATATAGTCCACATGTACATTCATCTCCCACCTGCCTTTCTCCTATCCCTCAGAGTACTGCCTGGTATGGGTCTGCAGTGGACAGGAGGTGAAACGGTAGCATCCTTCACCCTGTAAGCCATGTACCAGGTAGGAGGAGGGGAGCAGCAGCAGCTAACCCTCTGCAGATACTGCATGGGAAAGCTCCCCAGTGTCAAATGATAGGGTACAAGTACACCACTGTACAAATGAACAGCACAATAGAGAGAAGTTGCTAGTAAGGATCTCTCTTCTCCAGGTGATCCAAGGCAACATTGATACTTATGATGTGGTCTTGAAAGATCTTCGGCCTCCCATCATTGCTCGTTTTATCCGGGTGATTCCTGTGACAGAGATGCCAATGACTGTCTGTATGAGGGTGGAGCTCTATGGCTGTGTCTGGTATGGTAAGTAGCAATTTCCATGCCTGTCACTGGAAAGTAGTCCTTATATACAACGCTGACTGGGACTCACCTGCGTCCCCACACGTGCAGAGGGAATCCCAGGCCCACGGAACTGCTTCTGTTGGTCCACATCATAAATAAAAGGATCATATGGACAGAGATGATGGAAGGCTGCTGCTGCTGTATTTCTGAGGTATATGGCCTTCTTTTTTAGATGGTTTGGCATCCTATAGCATCCCTGAAGGAGGGACAATAGCGGCTCCTGGCTTCCCCATCGTTTATCTGAATGACTCGACCTATGATGGATACCAGGAGCGCAGGTGGGAGAAGTCGTCCTGTTCTCTCTCGGTCACTGTGCAAGTTATCTCTTCTTTCCTACTTGCCCTGTCACTAGTATCTTGTATCCCAAGCATTTCTTTGAGACCTCCAGAGCTGCAAGCTAACCTACTGGTTCTCCAAAGCATTGTAAGTTTGTTATTCCAGGCCCTTTGATGCATTGTTAGTTGCTGATTTTTAAAGGAGGGCATGGGATCAGGATGCATCAGATTAATTTCCCCCAGCTCACAAAGGCTGGCAGGAGAGAAATAATTTCTTTGTTATTGGAAGTTGTCGTTCCTTCTCTTTAAAGAGAAGAGTGTGTCTGTATACAGCTAAGTGCTGTCTTTGTTCATAGCTTCCATCTTTACATGATGTGATGACACAGTCCTGGTGTGTCCGATTGCCTTAAAGCCCTCCTTACTCTTGGTCTCTAATTGTGACCATATTCATTGCACTGATTTCTTTGTTGGTTCAGGTATAGCCTTAAGCTGTTGTTGATACCACAGACTGTAAGGTGCTGCTACTCTTTTGTTGCCCCAGATTGGAGTTAGAGAGCCGGCTGGACCTTCTACCTGTGCAGTCCCAGTGTCCCTGGAGCAGATGAAGGTCCTTCCCCTCTTCGTTGCCTTTGTTGCTTCTGCAGTTTGACATCTGAAATGCATTCTCTAGCAGACTGCATCTTAAACTGTTGCAGGAGGTCTCCAGGGTAAACTGGGCATCCGAGAAAGTGCGCAACACCTGAACTCTAGGCCTGCACTTGATACCTGTGAGCTTCTGGACAGATTTGAGATATTGTTTTTGAAAACAGAGCTCTGGTGGACTTGAAACAACTTGGAAAACTGCATCACTCCCTGTGAGAAGCTCCAGGTCAGCAGAGGCACCACTGCCAATGTGGTATGAGAGGAAGGTGGCCGATTACTCACTGTAAAGATTTCTTGGGTATGATGCTTTTCCAATTTGGAGTCAAAAAGCCTAAAGTAACTGGATTTTGACAGCTCATTACAAGGTCTGTTAATTTTTCACATCACTGAAATTAGTTAGGTAGGGTGGCATGTTATTGACATTTTGAGGTGTCTGGTTAACCTAATAGTTGGCTTTCATGGAAGGAGAGTTCATTAAGAGTCTGTATGTGAAATGTTAAATAACTGGCTGAACTTTCAGACATTTAGTGTGACCACTTTCTTTGCTATAAGTACCGATTTGAGTGTGTTTCAGCAGCTTGAAACCTCAGACAAACTTGGGCATGGGTATCTTCTTGAGGCAGCATATTCCTGCCCATGCAGGAATGTGCCTAATAAGTGATCTGACAGTGTCTCTTCAGTGACCTGGTGTCATCCATTGACTTAAGGTGCTTTTATTGTATGTCCTGCTTCAGTTGACGTTAAAGTCCTGAAAATTTTTAGTGTTGCCTAAAATTTTTTTTTATGCTTAGAGGTGATTTTTTTAAAATTATTTGTGTTTTTTCATGCTGGAGGTTAAAATAATGGGTTGGAAAGTACATTCTTCATGCTTGTAGGATGTTGCAAGATACTGGGTAACAATGTCTTTATATGTTAATATCTGATGCTTTCAAGCTGAACTGATATAGTAGGGATTGGATATTAAAAAAAACAAAATAAATTTACGCGCAGAAAGATGTAGGTGTTGCGCTCAGCTGTCCAGCACTAGCTTAGGAAGCTGGCCCTGCTGGGGAGTGTCAGGGAGCTACAGATGTAGGCACAAAACCTGATGTGCTAAGCAAGGATTCTTTCAAACTCCTTAACCTCTAGGTCATGTGCCTGACTGGCCTGGAAGCAGGAGTCTGCCTCTTCCAGCTGTTAATCCTGTTTTGGAGTTCAAAGGCATGCATACCTGTGCAAATTCTAGTTTGAGACAGGAGGGCTCACCTGGAATGGACTTGCAGAGCTTCAGTGCATGTAGCAGCAGCCCAGCCCAGGTTACAAAGACTGCCTAGAAGCAGCTGAATGAAACAGGTCCAGGGAGCAAGTTCAGGCACTAATACAGCTGAACTGTTTGCTCTTCCCTGCTATAGGACAAGGGACATGCCTGGGATGGCTCCCAGAAGGCAGGTGGGTCAGGAGTGTACCACATCTGGCATCATTTACTCTGGGACAGTGCTGGAAAACTGTATGGTGGGCTCTGCACTCTCAGATAAGAAGTAGAATGAGGCAGGGTCCTGGGCAAAGAGTCTAACCAGCCTTGGAAATGGAGCTGGTAACACTCTCTAATTACACAAGGAGCAAAGCCAGAAATTATCCCAGTTAGAACTGGCTGTGGCTGGGTGAGCTGCTCATGGTCTTGCTGTTCTTTTTCCTGCTTTTCTGTGCCTGCCTGCAAAACTTTCCCCACTGGTTCCCCCAGGACAGGATGGAGCGGTGTTCCTCCCATTCAGCTCCATGATGAAATGCTGCAATTAAAGCACTCTGTTTGGAGACCATACAGTGTCATTTTCTGTAGTCTTAGTTTTGATTCTCAAGAAACTCTGCTTGTAGCTTGGCTTTGTCAGGCAAAAACTTCAGCCTTTTCCTAAGCAGGGAAAGATTTTAAAAGCCCAGCCCAAACAACATAAAGGTGATGTTGCATAAGAACAGGGAGTGAGTTCTTGTCCAGGATGGGTTAAGAGTAAATAAACTAATGTTTTCCTGGTACCAGTTGAAGGACCCACGTGCTTTCACATATGAGTTCTCCTGGCTGGTATTCTGCCTAACTGTTGGTTCTTTCTTGCTAGGCACTTGTATGGTGGTCTGGGCCAGCTGACAGATGGTGTGCTAGGACTGGACGATTTCACACAGAGCCATCAGTACCGTGTGTGGCCAGGCTATGACTACGTTGGCTGGAAGAATGAGAGCTTCAGCACAGGCTCTGTTGAAATGGAGTTCCAGTTTGACCGACCACGGAACTTCACCTCCATGAAGGTAGTCAGCGTTGTCCCTCTCCAGCAGTCTGGAGTGGGGTTTGGGTCTGCATGCTCCCAGGTTGCCTCTTTGGGTCTTCTTCCCAAAGCAGGAGGATACAAGGTGCCTGACAGCAGAGTCCACTGTAGGCAGAATTTGAGCAGCAGATGTCCCAAGTTTGCTAGTGCAGAAAAGTGAAGCAGGGGAACACTTGCCTCTCCAGAGCTTGGACACTCTCAGTATTTGGCTTAAAGGAATAAAAAACAGACACCTGAAGCAGTGGTTAGGCAGCTGAGGATGGATTTAGGATGTAGGCTAGTTACTGCCTAAGGGCTGCCTGACTCACCTTTCAGGTAAAAGAATGTGGTTGTGCTTCCATTTCGACCAAAAATTTCTCCAGATGCCTCAATCTGTGCTTGTGCTGTGGGAAATTACTTAAACACACAGGAAAAGGATGAGCTGAACTTTGAGTCTGTAGTAAACAGCAGAATCTTTTACAAAGGATTGGTGGCTTTTCTTGTAGAGATTTCAAATGAAGGAGAACCCACCACATCCTTAAGTAAATTGTTTTGGTGGTTGCTTACCCTAGTTTTATTTTGTCTATTTTTAACTTGCAACCATTGGCTTTTAGCCTGCTTTCACTGACAAAAATAAGAGTCCTGCCTTCTCAGAAATTTTCCTGCTTCTACACTGTGATTAAACCACTCTCTTAATCTTTGCTTCAGTAAACTAAGTTGGCTGAACTTCTTAATGCTTTCCCTGTGAGATCCAGGGTCATTTTTGTAGCTATCTTCCAATTCTTTCTTTGCCAGTACTCCTTGGGTATAGAAACCGGAACTGGGTGCAAGCTTCCCATCAAACTGCATAAAAGAATGGTACCAATTCCCTGCTTTTGGATGATTCTTCTTTGTTTATCAGTCTTGTGATCATATTAGTCCTCCTAGCCAGTGGATAGGGAGCCAATATTCATTAAGACTTTGGTATCATGCTAAAAGTCAGTTCAAATTTATTGGTGTCCAGGGTAAAAGTCCAGTGTAGAAAGCATCACTTAGAATTTGTTCCCGAGTTCACTACCCTGAAATGAGTCAATCCTGAAAACTTCAGATTATTTTAGGAAACTTTGATTTATTTTTTTCCCCATTTAATTTATTTTATTGCTAGTGATTCTGCAGTCTCTTTCAGATCATTGAAAAAGGTTGCAAATAGCCTTGAGCTAGGAATACATTCCTGTTAGAAAAACACCTAGAGAAGAACTTGTGCCTTAAAACTTGTAAGACTTACTAGTTGCCAATTTTTAATCAAATTAATATAATTCATGAGTTCATACTATGTTAATTGGAGTCAGATGTTATAAGTAAATCAAATGCCTTGCAAAAGTCTGTCATGTAAACACAGCCATTCTGAACAACCAAACACACAAGCTCGTAAAAATAGCTACTTCATCTAGTATTTCATTATAAAGCTGTGTTGATTAGCTTAAATTATTCTTGATTATTTATTGAATGTTGCCTGTTTCAGCTTTGCATTTAATTTGTATAGGCTAGGTGGTCTGTAAATACTTTTTTGTACCTTCATATCTGTTAGCTTTATCCCAGTCTACTGAACTTCCCCAGTATCCAGAAAAGTATTAAAAATAAACGTTAGCAAATACTGCAGCTGCATTGCAAATTACTTAGACTTGCATATTGTAAAATTGGACTTTAGTAGGTGGTGTTTCAAATAGAAAGTGTCTCTGTATCAGTACAAGATGCGAACATATCCAACTCCTGTCCAAATAGGGCACAAATTGTATATTGCAGGCATCAGGCTTTCCTGCCTTGTTATGGATTACTATTTCTCCTTATTGAATAATGTTGTCTAAGCTTCCTCTGTTCCTAATTATACACAAATACCCTTCTTCTGTCTTTTTACTGCTCATCAGGCCTGTCGTCCTCATTACTGCTTCACTGCTATTCAATACAAGTCCTTGCAGAGGCCAAGCGATTAATAGGCTTCAAAGCTGCACTTAGTTTGGAAACTGTTGTTGTCAGAGTTGCTAATAACTCCACAGTCATTAGGAAGTAATTTCTAGAGTTGCTAGGGAGGATTGGACGACCATGACTATGAAAGTGGAGTAGTCTGAGGGATACTGAAGACTTTAAGGGGGACCTTATTCCTTCTGGTTCCTGGTCGCTGTCTGCAGTGCCAAGATACTGTGGTCCAGATCTTCAGGACTGCATGGCAGAACTTAAACTGTCATGGTGGTTTTTGTTTTTTGTTTTTGTTTTTTTGTTTTTTTTTTTTTTTTTTAAAAGGTGCAGGGCAGCATTTGCATTGAAGACAGAGAGTGGAACAGCATAAAGGATCCTTACAAGCCTTGTCCCTCTTTGTGAAGCCTGCTTCCTTGGAAGTGCTGGAGGCCTGGGAGAGTGCCAGGTGTTTGGTGTTGATGGGTCTGCAGTGCCGCAACCCAGGAAGAGGGAGATGTTGCTTTTATGCTGTAGCTTCTTGGTTTGAGTGCAGCTCAAGAGCAGGAAAGGAGAAAGTTGCTATCAGCTCTTGGGAGGGTAAAACAAACCTCCCAAGTATGGAGGTGTCAAGTCAGCCTGAAAGCATTTTGTGAACCACTTAGTCTGAAAGCGGACTATGTGGAGCTGTAACTCAGAGATGAGAGGATGCCTTTGTTTTAGTGAGATGTTAGCTTGGCAGCGTAGTGATTGCAGTTTAAATTCCAGCATCATGAGCTACACCAGTGGTGCCATTGCAGCAGGGACAACCTGGCGATGAGCCACCAGGAGAGGCTGATGGATGCAGGCTTACATGATGGTTTTCTTAAAACTTAGATCCTCTGTTGTTTTCAAGGTGCAAGCACAGCAGAAGAGCTGCTGTATGTCAGGGGAATATCTTCTTGAGCTTGTACCATTTATTTTGGAAGAAATTAACTTAGACTGCAGATGCTGAAGGCTTTCTAAAAGAGGCTAGAGCCCAGGTGTGGTTTTTCATTCCCTTCTTCGGATATATATTCAAGGAGAATTGGTCTGTGGGGCTTTAGATTAGTACAGGGCTTGTTTGATAGATTTTTATATGGGCCTTTTGAAGACCCTGCCGAAATTTGACCATTAATGTAGCTTTTGCATGTGAAGTTAAGAGCTATTTCAGAATAACTTTTTGCACAAATGTTCTCATTGCACACTACAAGTGGCTGGAGCTATACTGAAACAAGTTACTCATTCTGAGTTAGGAGTATTCATACAGGGAGATAATAGAAATAGAAAATCTTCATGAACAGAAAATCCGTGAGGCTTGATTTACTTTTTAGTAGATCTTCCTCCAGTCTGATTGATCTATTCCCTTCTTCCTAGGTGCATTGTAACAACATGTTTTCCAAGGGGGTGAAGATCTTCCAAAAAGTGGAGTGTCTGTTCAAACCACGCCTGATTGCAGACTGGGAGTCTGAACCTGTTGGAGTGGCAACTGTCTTAGATGACAAAAACCCCAGTGCTAGGTTTGTGACTGTCCCCCTCAATCAGCGTGTAGGTAAAGCCATACTTTGCCGCTTCTACTTTGCTGACACCTGGATGATGATGAGTGAGATTTCCTTCCAGTCAGGTGAGTATTCCTTCAGTCAAGCAGATCTGGTGAAGGACAGAGAGCAAAAGAGATGATGTGAGGTGCAGGACATGTGGGGTTATCATGAGTGCAGGGCACTGTGGGGCTACATGATGGGGAGGAGGAGGTAGTAGAAGCACTGAGAGGGTTGGAAGGGCAATGCAGGGGCAGAAAGATCCAGTCTACAGTGGATGCTTTTCAGGCTAATATTGATGCACATGTGCAGAAGCACAACCAGGGCAACCAAAAATTGGACTATAGAGCATTTCTTCTTTTTGAGACAGTTGCCTGCTGGTCGTAGGGTTGATTTTTACTTCTCTTTACCAAGTATTTTGTTATGAATAATTTAAGTGTATCTACAGATGATAATGAAGTTAGCACATTATGAAAAATAAGAAGCTGACTTTTTTTTCTAAAAAAATTCTTAACTATGATGCAGAAGTCAGTGCCATGAGGTGCTTTAAAAGGCTCTAAAATGGAATGGACAAGAGTCTTGGAGAAAACCGCCAGCACTGACAGCGAAGTGATCTAGCTGTAGCTTCCTACTGGAAGGTCCCTAATCAGCTATAGTGAGATGACATTCCTGGGGAAGGAGCACTCTGATTGCAGCTTGTTGCTTATCTTGCTGATAGCAGCCCCTCCTGGCTACCCTCCGTCACACGTGGGACTTGGCAGACTCTTGGTCTAGGCTGGGATGGCAATTCTTGCAATCATGCTAAAATGGAAAAAAGGCTCTTGCTCCAGTCCCGTGTCTGGCCAAGCTCAGGGAAGCATCCTACACGCACTGGTGTTTTGCTGTGGTCAGGATGTACGTGCTGCTCAACGCAGAGGCTTGTCCTGCAGGTGTGCTGAGAAGTGCTGAATGAGCAGGTATCTCTGCTCATGCTGTTCATGACCTGCTGCATGGGTCTCAGCCCTGTCCTCCTTGGGAAGGTAGGGGTGGTGGTTGGGATTGCACTGACCGCTGGTAGGAGCAGGGAGGTTGTTTGTTGAACTGACACCTTCCCTTCCCTTCCACAGACATGGAGAGTGTGAATCCTAATTTTGTTACGGTAGCCACAAGCACAACGGATCTCCTGGAAACAGAGTGCAATGTTACTGAGGGGACCTGGGGTAAGGACTTCTGTCACTTAGCTGTGCCAAGGCCTCAAGTGTTGAGGATTTCACAGTAACATCCTAATTAACATAGTCTCTCCCTCCATTTCTGGAGATCCAAGTATGGCCTGGTTATTGTCCTCATGCACAGGGGCTGCATCTTACAGTCCTCAAAGCCTCAGCTATTTCTCCTTCCCTCAGCTGGCCAAGGCTGCCTCAGAGTAAGCGGGCTGAAGGCATATGTGCAGCCAGTGAAACTCTGAAAACTGTCTGTTCTAATACGGATCCAGTGCAGGAATCTGTTCCAATGCTAAGAAGTCTGATTGCAGAAGTCCTCTGCACAATTCTTAACTGCAAGGCTCCAAAATGAGGATTTCTGATAAGAACAAAATGTGAATACAGCTAGTGTTAATGCTCAGGAAGCTGCCTAAGATCTTTTCTGTGCCAGACTGTAGGAAGGGACATGTAGGAGGTTAGCCAGCACAGGTAACAACCTGTGCTTTGTTAACTCCAAATTGTTCTTCATACCTCTATGATTGCAGAAACCACATCTTCAGTAACCAGCACCTGGATAGGAGAGAAAGCAGATGACTCCAATACTTCCATCCTTGTGGGCTGCCTTGTGGCTATTATTCTTCTGCTCCTGATGATTATAATCATTATTCTTTGGAAGCAGTATGTTCAAAAAAGGTTGGAAAAGGTAATACAATGGGGCTATTTTGCAGACACAAGTTCAGTACTATGCATTAACTCTAATGAGCTCAAAATTATGTGGAAAGCACAGGGTTTCCCCAGCTCCATAGAGCAGCTAAAACTCTATTCTCACAGTAGGGGAGAATGCCAGCCCTATCCCAAGATATTACTGGAAAGTGCTGTGGCTGCAACCAATACATTACTTAACAACTGAGTATTGCCTTAACGGTTTTTTTCTCTCTCTTTTGCAGGCCCCACGTCGAATCCTAGAGGAGGATGCCACTGTTCGCCTCTCCTTCTACAGCTACACCATTGCCAACAACCAGACCCAGATCCACCAGTCAAACCCCACCTATGAACGAGCTTTCCCACTGGATTTGGAATATCACCAGCCAGCCACACTGCTCCAAAAGCTTCCAGAGCTCTCCCAAAGTGCAGAGGATTCAGGTAACGTAATTGTCAGTCTCCAGAAGTTACGTGTTTATTCTTCTATTATTTCTCTCAGATTTTAAAATGTGACACTTCTCACTAAGTGATTTCTCTGACTCCTAGGCAATACAATACTAACCTAGGCACCTAAGACAATATTCTGGAGCTCTGAAACTTTTTAGCATGTACTTTGGCAGATGGAGCACCAGCCCCACTAGAGGGTGGTGGCCTTTTACTGTTGTCTTTGAAGACTGTGTTTATACATTAGCCAGGTCATCTTTTAGGAGCTCGTTTTGGCAATCATAGCAATCGCATGTCATTCATCTCATCGGCTCCTTGGCAGTGGAGTTGCTGCCTGCAGCCCTCCTGGACTGTCCAGACTGGCTGGCGGAGAAGACCTTTAGCACCTTTTCCTGAAGCAAGGGCTCTTTGAAATTCCCTTAGAAAAAAACAGAGGGAAATGTGGCAGAGAATGTCAGTGGTGCCCTGGCTTCCAGCCCCTGGGGAGCTTTTGGATGCATGCAGAAGGGAATGTTTCCAACAGTGTTTTGTACTCAGTGATGGCAGTGCTGATTAGTGAATGGAAGGCCAGTGCTGTATTCCTCAAGCACTGACAGGTTGCTAAGATCCAGCATTATACTACACAGGGAGACCGATTGGATTGAGTCAGGATGTGAATTTGAAGCAGAACAAATGTTTGGTGTAATACTGACCAGGGAGTTATTTATAAAGAGCTATCCCATGATATTTATGTGAATAAGCTGTAAGAGGTAGTGTAGCTTGCTAACAGAGTACATGGAAAATGGAAACCTCAACCAGTTCTTGTTGCAGAAGGGAATCCAGAGCAAGTTTGACGTTGCAAACAACATCTCTGCGTCAGGTAAGGGGAACATGTCATATTTAGGATGAATCAGAAACAGGAAATCACTCCAGACTCATGCCTCCATGTCTGGGCAAGAACTTGAGCTCTCATAACTGCATAGCTGGCACCTCACAGGTATTCTGGTGTCTGCAGAAGTGCTGCTTGTTCTGGTTTAAGCCCTAGTTAAAACAAAGAGTTTTCCACCTGGGTGTACCTTGGTACAAGGTAGTAGGCATGCAGCTAGGCTGAATTCCCAGAGGTCTGCAGGACTGAGAGGAGTGGAAGCTGGGCCATACTGGTTTTAAGGGAGTCTGACTCTGCCTGTCTTTGGTTTCCCCTTAGTGTGCAGTGGGGACTATGCTGAGCCTGACTTGACTAAGTCCACTCCTCACCAAGGCTTTCAGAACAATGTTCCTCACTATGCTGAAACAGATATTGTCCACCTGCAAGGTGTGACCGGCAACAACATGTATGCAGTCCCAGCCCTCACTGTGGATTCGCTTACCAAGAAGGACATCTCAGTGGGTGAATTCCCAAGGCAGCAGCTGCGACTCAAGGAGAAGCTGGGAGAAGGACAGTTTGGAGAGGTACAGCTATTCTCTTCCACTTTTCCTCCAACAGAAAGGAGATGCCTGGCAGAGCTGAATCTTCTGAGCTGCCTCTCTGGCACTGCTTCATACTTGGGGGCTGAGGGGAGGGTTCTGCATACCAGTATTTTATTTAATACATGTCTTTGCATTGGGAAAAGCTGATGTCCTTTAGGATAGGCTTTAGAGGGCCCCATTCTGCACCTGTGAGGCTGCTGCTTGTTACCATATGAGTCTTTCTCAACAGATGAACTTTGCAAACTTTTTCTGTTCACTGTCTATATCACTGTTTATGACCTTATAGAAAAGACGTGGGGATGGGAATTCGGACTGTTTCATTGTCTTCCATGGACATCTCAAACATGGCTGTCACCCACCTTTAGGCGTGTGAGTTTGAAAACTCTAGCAGTGACTCCAGCCAAGACAGATGGATCCTAGCTGTAAAAACAGCTTTCCTGTGCACAGATGCAGGTTTTGGTGGGGCTCTGCACGCTGACCCAGGCAAAGACAGACATTTCCCAAGCACTGTGATCATATTCTTTAGCATTGCTGATTGCTCAAGCCCCAGTTTGTGTCAGAAGCCTCAGGCAGCATGATACATGCAACTGTCACCTTCCAAGCTTTCTCTTTACTCCTTGAGCTCCTTTCAAGTTGTGAATGTTTTCACCCTGCCTTTTCTTCTCTCCCTGCTTCATTTCCACACTATCCCTAGTTCCATACTGAATAGGTCTTCCCCTCTCCTGCTCTCACTTTTCCACTGTCTGTTTTTTCTTCCCAGCTTTTGCTCACTCACGGCCTTAAATTCTACCTGCATTTTGACAAAGCACAGCCTTTTACTGACTGCTTCCTCCTCTGTGATGTGTCCATCTTTATCATTCCTCCCTTCTGACAACACACCTTCCCTACCCCAGCCCCTTCCCTGTCCCCCTCACTTCTTTCTGGATCATTCTGTGTATTGGGAAGGTGCTGACATCCTCAGCCTCTTCACCTGGCTGTCAGTGTAGCCCTTTCTGCTGTTGCCTGGATCCTGCCCTGTCTTGGGCTGTGCTCCAAAAGTGAAACAGAGAGGCTTTTTTTCTTGTTGTTTTGCTTCTGGTTTCTCCTTCCTTCTCATTCCTGTCCTTCTAATAACTGTCAAAGCTTTCTCCTCCTCCTCCTTTGTGTTGTCAAACAGCAGCAGCCAGGCTCTCCCATCTCCATTTTCCTTGGAGATTGATTCAGAGACTCTTGCTTTCCTCAAATTACAGGCTCTTTCCCTTACTTTTGCAAATATGCCACATCACATTCTCCAATCTCTCCTTCTCACCTCCTTAGTCTTTACCAAACAGGTCATCATCCTCTGGCTTACCGTGCAGTCTTGCTTCTAGAAACATGGCTCATTGCTTTTTTCACCTCACCACTCAGACCTTCCTTCTCTTTCAGTCTTTTTTTCTTCCTTGCTCCTAACCATCCACTCCCTGGACTCAGTGACACATTACCTGTGCTTGTAATACATGCACTTAGTACCATGGCTCTCTTTCCTGTTCCTAGTCTTGTGACTGTACTTTCACCACAGCAGATTGCATTCTCCATGTAACTGCAGCAGCATCTTTGTAATTCTCGTTTCTGTTTGTTCTGTGGGTTTGTCCCATATTCTATGCTGTCTCCTTTTTCTCCTCGCCATGCTTGTAACATTAGTTCTCGCTGCTTTCTTCATATAAAATTCATTAAGCTCCCATTACATTACCCTCACTGCTGCAAGTCTTTGACTGACACATCCAGTCTACTCCCCTCCTCCAGTACTTTTTCCTATGCCACACACTCGGGTCTGTCTGCTTTCCCCACCCCAGCATCTCTTGTGCAATTCTCCATTTGAATATTCATTCTGATAACTTCTTAAGTGTCTTGTCACCCCTTCTTATACAACCTTGGCAGTAATTTTATGGTTTTATTCATTTATTTATCTGAAGAAACTTGAAATTCTGTGTACTCATTAGAGTATTCAACTCTGGGTGAGGTGTTCTTGTCACCCCCACACAGATGCATACACGGACACACAGGCACACATGTGTTTTCATCCTTTTTTTTTTTCTGGAATTAAAGGACTTTGGATAGCTGTCTAATTCCTGGATGCTCCTCAGTTAAGTTTGAGGAGTGACTCAAGCTGGGCTGCAGGACAGTTCTGGACTTGTATGGCTGGTGTGATGTGCTCTACATACCAAACCTGCTGCAGCTGTGCTGTTTGCATGCACATGCAGATTAAAGCAGACAACTCTAAGCACAGTGGCCTTCCTGAACACCTCCAGTATTTGCTGGGCGAATTGGACTGCCCCACCCAGTAGTCTACTGCACCAGTCTGCACACATGCAGTAAATTCAGTGTGTTGGGGACACATCAGGCTGCAATACATGTGTGTTCCTACGTCATGGGCTATCTAGTGTTATGTACACATTTTGTCCAGGATCTAGGGCCAACCTATGGGCTGTTTCTGATCAGAACAGTGTCACCTTCATTAGATCAGTTGCTTAGTCATTCTGCCAGCGGTGACCAAACCGGTGACCTCAATGTGACATTGTTTTCCTCTGGTTTTCTGCCTGTGCATGCTCTCATAGTTGCCTCTGCCTTCTGTCCTGCAGGTACACCTTTGCGAAGCCGATGGCCTGCTGGAATTCCTGGGAGTCTCGTCTACAGAATTCACTCACCAGCCGGTTCTTGTAGCAGTGAAAATGCTGAGATCAGATGTCAACAAAACAGCCAGGTAAGTGCATCTGCAATGCTGACCATCTGAGAAGGAAAGCAAATACTCTCCAAGCAACAGTTTCACATAGGTTAACCCTGGTGACTTCTGTAAGAGTGTGTCATGTGTCTTTGGTTTATGTTCTGTGTGTTCATGTAAGGAACAGGATGCAAGCAGGGAGTGGGGAATAGGAATAGACATAATGTCAAACTGAAATGCTGTATTAATCCTGTTTGCTGGGGAAGGGGTCAATGTTGAACACAAGCACAGAACCAGCTTTAAAACTTACTGTGTGCAGAAGTGTAAATGTCTCTGAACTGAGATTTTCTTACATGCTGCTTCTGCTTTCCTTAGACAAAGGAATAGTTTAGGATTCAAACCTGTGTTTTCTGTTTTACAAGAAATGATTTCCTGAAGGAGATCAAGATCATGTCACGGCTGAAGAACCCAAATATCATCCGGCTTCTGGGTGTGTGTGTGCGTGATGACCCACTGTGCATGATAACAGAGTACATGGAAAATGGAGACCTCAATCAGTTCTTGTCGCAGAGGGAGATCTACAGCAAATTTGCCATTTCAAATAATATTCCCTGTGTCAGGTAAGGGGAGCTGCCCATCTTTGGGTCAAATCAACAATACAGAGCTACCAGTTTCATCTGCTGTGTGCTCCAGGCAGTGACCTTCCTCCAGCCCAGCCATTGCCATGGCACATACTGTGGACAGTAGTCCTGCTTTGTATGGGAGGTTGTTCTTGAGGCGTCTGGAGGTCTGTGTTCCCATGAGGTGTCCCTGACTGTGGGCTGTTCTGGTCACGGTGACCATCTTAGATGTATTGTTTGCTGATGTGACCATCTGTTTACGTTAGTGGGCTTGCATCAAATATTTCATTAATATGGGGAGCCAGTTGCATTACAGCAAGAATTTGGGGATGAAAATCAAGAATGTCTCTTAGGCTTTTAGGAAGGTTCATATGTTCTCCGGATGTCTAAAGAATATTACATGAGGGGAGTTGAGTGTGGAGCTTCCCTAAGGAAAAATTTCATCAGTCAACAGAAGGAGAATATTTGGCAAAGAAAACCATTTTCTGTCAGCGGTGGCACTTATCTCCCTCCTCTATGGAAGGATTAAATCTTAACATAAAGCATCTCTACTATTGCAGAAATCCTTTCCTCAGAGGAGAGTTGTGTGTAGTACTAATGTATTCTGCTCGATGAAGAAACCTGCACTGATGAGAAATTGCTGCATTGCTTAGCCTTTGGCATGTACCTCCCCAAAGGATTAGATTTATTTATAGTTCAAGAACTAGGTAGTTAGGCAGAGCCAGTTCTGTTGATGGACTAGAGAGGAGGTGGCTGGGTCTTACCATGGGTTGAGACACCACCAATGTTTCTGCCAGTAGCTGGCAGTGGTCAGTGGTCCTGTTGGGGACTGTTAAACTGGTATCCTGCAGTCATGACACACCAGGAACTGTAGGGTGGGAGAGGATTTGCATCTGAGTAGAAACATATTCTAGCTCTCTCCAGTCTCCTGCCCTTTCTGCACATCTGAAACAGCTTTCACCTTTAGACTTGCAGCTTTTTTTCCTAGCCAAAGCCTCAGACTGTCCTTCCTTTATCTCCTCCTCACCTCTTACCTGACTTCAGCACTGTTGCTCACATTATTCATCCTTGGTTTCCATTACTTGGCTCTACGTCTAGTTTTTCTTTCTCTCCAGCTCATCCTTCACCCTCTCCTTTTGTCCCTTCCAGCCAGATACAGTTTCACATTAAAGGAAGCCAGTATGACTAGCTCAGATATATATCTACATAGGAGTTGTTTACTGAGAGTGAAATGAATCCCCCTGCCAAAGAGTGCAGCTTGTCTCTGCTGGTGCCTGTGGGTGTGTAATTGACATGGCAAGGTCCAATCATCCCACCTGTCTCAAGCCCAATATTTGATGCACCAAATGTGGTAACCAGCCCTTTACCTGCAGAGAGGTCACACATTTTTAAGTCCTTATGGCTCTTTGGTGTTTGAAATCCATCTCCTTACTGTCTCTCTGGCTATCTAGCAAATGATGAAGATGAGTTTGCTGAGAAGTGTCTCCTGTCCTGCCCCTCTGTATGCAGAGCTGCATGCAACAAGCCCTGCAGAGCTTGCTGAGCAGAGGGGCAGGGAGCCAAAAGGTAGCTGCTGCCCAGGACCCTGCCAGGGTGCAGGTGGGACAGGAGAGACTGGGCTTCTTGAGTGGGAAGAGCAACAGCCCCAGGCAGGGAGACAACTGCAGCTGAGCAGGGGGAGGGGAGAACAGAGGATCTTGGAGGCTATGCCCATTCCTATGTGAAAAGCCAACAACCAGGTTAACAAGGTACAAGTGGGTGGCAGAGTTCCTTCTCTGGGGGCACAACAGGTCCACCCAGATCAGGAGAAACATCGAGCTGACTGTGGGACTGGGCCAAGTGTCACCTTCCTGAGTTGTGGTGTTCACCATGCTGAAAGGCTGGGAGGGCAGCAATGACCAGACCCTCCTGCCAGTGCCTCTGAATTGCTGTAGGGATAGCTTGGCTATTGATTAGAATAGATAGATTGGATCTATTATCATTAGAGGCGTCACATTATACCATGTAATTTAGATAACATGGTAGAGCTTTTCTCATTGCCACCAGAACACAAAGAGGAGGAGACTAAGACTTTCTTTTTCTGACCTTTATCTGAGAAATACTGTGAACAGTTTATTAGATTTGTTGTGAGCAATGCTTGGTTGTGTGAAGCATTTGAGCGTGCACAGTGGGAAACAAGCTGAGCATCACAGAATAATAGTCTGTAAAGAATGCCGCAAGTCAGATGGTCCAAACTCTGTCTGTGTATCACACAACTTATTAATATTATCTTCATTTTGCTAATGGGGGAATTAAAATTATATTAGATGGAACATACATGTTTATATTTTCAGTAATATTAAACGTATTAAAAAAAAAGTAACCTCTCTTTAATGTTAAGTGACATATATATATTAATGTAAGCATCCAATAGTGGCAGTGTTTGAAATACTAGGCTAAGCAGTTAAGATAGGAGATTCTGAGATTGTACAGCTTAATTTTTCATGTGTCTGCAAAAAGTTGGTGCTTCGATGCATAAACTCTTTGAAAATCTTGAGATTAATGCTTGATATTAAAAATCTAAAGGATGTCAAATTTTAAGGGCCCTGAATTTCAGGGACAGCTTGTCTGTTCTTGCTGAGTCAGCTCAGGAGCTTGGCTTAGCCTGGCAGGTGGGGGGGGTAGTGCTTTGAAACTAGACAGTTTAGTTTCACTGTTATGGCAGAAAATAACAGGTCACTGTTAACACATCAAATGCAAGAAATAGTTGAATGTGGGTAACTATTGATTTTTCTTTTTGTTATGTTTTCTTTTAACGCAGCTACTCTAACCTGCTGTACATGGCCACCCAGATTGCCTCTGGAATGAAGTATTTAGCATCTCTGAATTTTGTGCACAGAGATCTGGCAACTCGCAACTGCCTGGTGGGGAACAACTACACCATCAAGATTGCAGACTTTGGCATGAGCAGGAATCTTTACAGTGGGGATTACTACCGTATCCAGGGAAGAGCTGTATTGCCCATACGTTGGATGGCCTGGGAAAGCATCCTCCTGGTAGGGACTGCACAAAACCATTCTTTCTCCCTTCCTCTGATTTTCACTCTGCCCCTGAAACAGTAACATGTGTATGTGTAATGGTCCTTATAGCATCAAAATGTATGCTACAGATGACCCCAGGTGAGAAGTCCGTTAGGTTGTGTTGGACATAACTCATATCCTGGGAGAGGAGTGTGTCCTTGCAAATACAGCACAGATCATAGAATCATAGAATAGTTTGGGTTGGAAGGGACCTTTAAAGATCGTCTAGTCCAAACCCCTTGCAATGAGCAGGGACATCTTCAACTAGATCAGGTTGCTCAGAGCCCTGTCCAGGCTGACTTTGGATGTTTCCAGGGTTGGGGCATCTACCACCTCTCTGGGCAACCCGTGCCAGTGTTTCACCACCCTCATCGTAAAAAATTTCTTCCTTCT